TTCTACTACGACCTCTTGTCAAAGGCCAAGACCTGTGAATTCGGTAGTTTGACCGATTGAATGACCAGAGATCAGCTCATGTTTGGAACCGCAAACAAAAAGCTACAGCAAAGGCTGGTGCGAGAACAGGACTTGCCTCTTGCCAGAGCAGTGGACATGTGGAAGGCGGATGACATATCAGCAAAGCAAAACAAAGCTTGGAACAAGCCTGAAGAATTCGTCCTCAGTATCAAACGGACAACGAACAAGCGTTCATCGGTGCCAGTTCAAGTACCACCTAGACGAAACCGCTGCCAGAAGTGCAACTTCATTCACCGAGTAGCGGGCTGTCCAGCGGTGGGAAAAGAATGCCGAAAATGTCAACGTCAAGATAATTTTGCGGCAGGTTGCCCAAACTGAGTGAACGCGATCATCAACAACGACGTAACTGCCGAGGAAGCCACGGAAGCGGGGAGAGACTTTGAAATTCTGGAAGTGGACATGCGCAGCACAAGCAATCAACCAGACTGGCTGGTGCCGGCGAAGGTTGTCGATAAGGACGTCGTTCTGAAGATTGACACTTTCGCGCAAGCTAACTTGTGGCCACTATCGTGATGCAAACGCGCAGACACAAACGCGAATTCGCGAAAAAGCACAAAAATTGCGCGTAGTTACAGCGGTGGTGTATTTGCGTACGCAGGAAAAGCAGGTTTGAAGGTCGTTTGCAACAACACGGCAAATGCCATCGATCCCTTCCTTGGGAAGAAGTTCCCCCCCCCCCTCCCCCCAAATGGCAATCATTCTCGGTCTTAAGCCAGCGAACTATTTGGACTCGTTAATCGTGTTTCGGCGATTTCCTGTGACGACGCGAATGCAGTAGCATCAGGATTTCCTGACGTGTTCCGGGGTTTGGGCTGTGTGAAACAAACGTACGCTATGGTACTAAACGACGGGGCCAAGTCAACGGTTCAAGCAGCCCGACGAATTCCTCAAGAGTTACGACAGTCACTGGAAAAGGAGCTTCAGCACTTAATCACTGACAGAGTCATCCGGAAAGTAGAAGAACCAACGGAATCGGTGACATTTGCTTATTGAACTTAAAAAGACGTACAGCTCAGGGCATGCTGGGATACCCGGAGCACAAAGGAGTGAGTGAAGCGAAAGCGTTTCCAACTTCCCCCCCAAAAAAAGACATCGAGTTTGAGCTAGCGGGTGCACGGTGGTTTTCAACCCTTGATGCAAATTCTGGATTTCATGAAATACCGTTGGATGCCGAGACCGCCAGAAGTTTTACTTTCGCCACGCCATTTGGGAGATAACTTGTGGGATAGTTTCTGCACTGGAAGTGTTTCAAAAAGTGATGTCACAAATGCTCGGGGAATTCCCGGAGTTAGGTTATACATCGAAGACATTCTGGTGTGGGGTAGAACGTAGGCACAGCGTAATAAAAGATTACGCGCAGTACTGCAGAGGACCAGGCAAGAGGGTTTTAAGTCTATCCTGAGCAAATGCAAACTGACCCACAAGAAAATTGAGTACGTGGCGAACACAATCACTGAATATGGTATATTTCCACGCCCGGCCCTGGTTCAGAGCATTCAGAACATCCCTCATCCAGCAAATAAGAAAAAAAAGTGCAGAGATTTTTGGCTTCATAAATTACTTCACAAAGCTTCTGCCCCACTTGGCCTCAAAAACGACATTAATGCGAGAAGTTATTAAGGACAGTGGTCTAAGGCACACCAAGCAGGATGGGAAGGTTTAAAAATTTTCTGGCTACTGCCCCAATGCTGGTGCTTTTTGATTCGAAAACAAAAACTGTGAAAGTATCTTCGGATGCATCTAAGTAAGGGATAGGCGCGGCGCTGCTACAATAGCTCGAGCAGGGATGGCAGCCAGTGGCATACGCTTCAAGAGTCATTTTAAGTGCGGCGTACATACCTGGAAAAGACTTGGGGGTGCCAGACGTTCTTTCAAGAGCGCTTCCCGTCGGACGTTCACATGGCATGAAACTGAACGTTATCGAAGTGCATGTATTGGAGATATAGCAAAGTTTTATAAAATAAGCGCACCAAGACTCAACTGGTGAGTGAAACTGCTCAGGACACGGCGTTCACTGAGACATTTAACTGTCTCCGAGAAAAGAATCCTGTTCAAGGAGAGTATAAGCCTTCTGCCGAAGAGCTAACAGAAGTTGGCGGGGTTTTGTTCAAGGGCGCAAAATGATGATCCCACTGACCATGCGCAAGCAAATCCTGAAGCGCATTCATGATGGTCATCGTGGTATTAATAAGTGCAGTGCAAAAGCGAGACAGTTTTTTTGCCGGGCATTAACAGTAACATCACGACGATGATTCAGCGATGCCCACTCTGCAAACAATTTGCGCGCCAGCAATGGAATGAGCCACTAATGACGCCAGAGGATCCCAACTTACCACAGACACGCATTGGCGTAGACCTGTTTGTACAGGCTGGAAACACGTGCATTGTTGCCGATGATGCATTTTATAATTTCACAGAAGTGGAGAGGCTCAGAGAGTCGACGTCAGAGACTGTAATTTCGGCATTGAGCAGCATGTTTGCTGCATACGGCATACCTCTTGAAGTGGGCAGCGACAGCAACACAGTTCTCACCACGTCAGTTTAAGAGGTTTGCTTTGAAGTACGAGTTTAGGCACACAACGTCCAGTCCGCACTTTTCTCGCGCCAGAGGACTTGCGGAAAAGTGTGTGCAAGTGGCAAAACGAATACTGCGGAAAACTGCTGAGGCTAATGAGGACTTGTGGCTGGGGTTTCTGGGTTACGGGTCTACACCTCTGGAAAACGGCCGGTGTCCCAGCGAGGCTCTCGTGGGACTCCGCGTTAGGTCCCGCCTTCCCGACCTCTCGCCCACAGTCCCAACAACACTCCGAGGACGCAACCCAGATAGCAGCAAGGGATGTTTCCTGATGCCACTACAGGAAGGTGACGTGGTACGCCTGAGGGACAAAGAATAATTGACCACGAAGGGTCAAGTGCTACAAAATGTGGCGCCTCGTTCTTCATTGGTCGTCACGGAGGACGGGCGGAAGTTTCGACGGAAACGAATTCACCTGCTCCTGACGAAGGGAGACTTTGCGCGTACGAATATCTTCAAGGGTACTTGTCCAGACTGGGAGCCGGCCAACATTGAAGTTGCTCCCACTGCAATGAGCCTACCAGTTCAGCAAGATTGTCCAGCCACGAGCTCATGTCGAACCCTGACCAGCACCCTAGTTCCAGTGACCCCAGCAGTGCAGCAAGACGGTCCCGGGTTGATTGATTGGGCTAGTGTGCGTGCTACTCCGACATCAACTTGAACTGTGCAGCAGCCTAAGCGACTACACTACGATGACACATTTCAACAGAACGCTTAAGCAGAATACCCCGGGCTTATTGTAAATGTGTACTTTTCTTGATTTTTGTTTTTCATTTTTGTGTTTTTTGTATTTTTTAGTTATTTTTCTTATTTCTTATTTTGATCACGGTTTGGGAATTGCTTTGTCTTCCAGACTACAAAGAAAGGGAGATGTAACAGTTGTGATTCCTGAAACCTTGTGTAATGCAACACGCACACGCGCGTACTCGGTTTGGATAAAGACGAAGCAGTTCGTTCCTGATCACTGAGCCCAATGTGTCGTTGACTGAATCAGGCTGCCCATGTAAAGCACCCGTGGGTCCCACCTCGGCGCTGCGGAGCCAAGTTGCCAACGGTGTGGGCTTTACGTCGGCAAAGCGTGGGCCTGCCCGACTTGGGTTGCCCATGTAAAGCACCAGTGGGTCTCACCTCGGCTCCGTGGGGCCCGAGTTAGCAACAATGTGGGCTCCGAGGCGGGAAAGCTTGGGCATGTCAAACTTGGAATACCTGTGCGACCCCCAAAACGGCAGCTTCGGCTAATACTTACTGCAAGTTTTGAAAATTGAACACAAGTGATTGCCTTAATTGTGTACCGAATCACCGAGGATTGTAATTCTAATCATGAGTGAAAATGTTTAGGCTTGGTAAACTTTATTACTAACGCACTATTACTACGCATATTGAGGAGGCCGTCTTACAAGGGGTAGATTTTTTTGACAGAGTATTGAATTTTAGGATGGATTCAAAACATGCTCGATAGAATGTCGTGTCTTTTGTATAATTGAAGGTCTGTAGATGGTTCAAGCTGGCCATGAATCCCGATTTGCAATTTGCACAGCTTTTTTTTTTGTTCCATTTCGTACATTTGAAATGCCCAATTTGCTATGGCCTTGCTCAAGACGTTTATTGATTTATCAAAATTGTAATGTTTCCAGTAGGCCCACGGGGCAAGTGAGGCATGCTCAATTTGTTATGCACTGCTGTACTCCAAAAACGTAAGAAAAATATGAAATGGACCCCGAGCGAAATGAGGTTCCGGGGCGACCTCACGGGGGCTGCCCAAGTAGGCCCGCTGTGGGTCCCACGAGGGTAGCCCAGTGGGCAGCCCAAGTCAGACTGACGTCGAACTGATGGCTTCAACGTTTACGAGAGGCTTGATGATGGTGGAATATAACATTGAACAACAAAGTACGCATCAAAGATTAGACAAAAAAAAAAAAAAAACACTAAGGTTTTGTTCTTGTGTCAAGAAAATCTCGGGTATTTTTTTTTCGGTCAGTCACATGTACATTAGCTATTTTAATAAGTCGCAGAACGCGCCTGTCAAGCCGGTCGTTCAAGTTGGTACCGTCGGCTCAACGTCGGAGCGCCGTACGTCGAGCTAAAGTTTTGGGGTGTAGTATATGTGACAAGGGTTGTAAGAATATATCCTTTGTGTGTGTGTGTGTGTTGGACCCCCATCAACCTTCCTTTTGGAGCCAACTTCGTGCTACTTGGGTACATTGTAAACTCACCTCATGGGTAACACTCTTCTAAAGAACACCATTAAGGAACTCTAATTCTCCACGAAAATATAGGAGTGCATCTTTAGAAAACCTTGGAGAAATCCAAATGTTTGAGCAAACCAATAAGGGCCGTGTCTCACCTTCAAGTACCACGGTAACCGTGTTCGACCAAACTGTGCTTCCGGAGGGCAACGCCTTGAGACCGCAGCGGTAGTGACCCTGACTGGACGCGTACGAGTGCGAGAAGGTGGTTCTTTCGATCACCTTCTCTGGTTGGATGGAACGGAACGACTCGTTCAGGTACACGTCGTTCTTAGTCCACACGTAGGCGTAGGCGTAGCTTCCTCGGATCGCTTCCATGAAAGCGCTGCCATTTGTGAAAGCGGCCCTGCAGGTCAGCGTCAGGTCCGGCAGCTGGTAGCTCTGCAGGATGGGAGGTCGGTTCGTGCGGAGGGCGACGCTCACGTGCTCGCCTGCGAATCGGACACCGACGAGTTTGTTTAGAATACACCGGGATCGATTGAATGAGACCCGGTTTTTTCGGCCTCCGTGAATGAACTACGCACTCCAGAAAGTTGAAACTCAGTCAAAATATGACTCTAGCGGTTGGGATAAAATGCAAACATTTGAGAACATGACGTTACCGGCATAAAATGATATGAAGGAAAAACGCATTCTGTGCACGAGCCGACATCCAAAATATAGTTTTGTCAAACAAAGAAATAATATTGTGAGAGCCTGTGGAATCGTTTATAGTAAGACAAACTTATCAGGAATAAAAACAACATAGTTTTCTTTCTTCCTGACATGTTCGTTTTATGGAAATAAAAGCTACAGTCGCCCATAGTACTATTGGGTGTCTGAAATACGAGGCTACATCTAAAATGTGCCATAAAACTCGGTGCATGCACGTAGCACTCTAAACTTTTCAGCGAAAGTGTTGCAATTGCAAAGCGTAGCTCCCTGTCTGTAAATAACAGGGCCAAAAACTTGCCAGGGTCAATGGCGGACCCTGTCAAGTTTTTAGCATAATAGTGTACAGAAAGGGTGCTACGCTTCGTAAATTTACAGCGTAAAACCCACCTGTGAAATACATTTTTGAGGAAACTTTTATATTGCTACGTTCAAGCGCCAATATTTACGGTCCAAAGTAGTCGCAGCCTATGTATTTCAGACACCCGATAGTTCGTTTTTTACGAATTTAGGCTTAAGTGGAAGTCAACTCATAAGGACCAGTTTTTTGTCTTCTTTGTCTGTTGATCCTGGTAACGCCATATTCACAAAATTTTGCATCCTATTTCCACCTCGAGTGTCTTATTCTCGCAGAGTTTCAACGCTCTGCCAGACGTAGTTTTCTTCTTTTGTTTTTTTTCTTATGGGGGCCGAACAACCGTTTTTCTTTTAATTGAACTTGAATGTGCAACGGTGCTTTGAACGCTTCTTCAAATGGTGTGTTTAGCGTCCTATTTGACCCTGCAATGAAAGTTGTCCCGAAGTGACAACTAATTGCGTCACAAGAGCAGGTGTGTCATACTGTCGGATGTTGCAATGCTGGCGGTTGGAGTTGGAAATGCTGGCGAAAAGATGAGAGGACGCGACGGTCGCCGTCGTCGCGGCGTCCCCAATTGCGTCTGCTTTGGTATCCAACGACTGACTGGCTGTAGAGGAACCTGCGACAGAACAGGCGTCCACCGCGTCCACCTCCGCTGTTGTGCCCACGCCAGGATCGCGACAGGCAACAGCATGACACAGAATGGCGCGATCAGGCAAACATGGAGACCACTTTTGAAGTCGCGGTAAAAACACCAGTCGGAAACTAAAACAGTAGAGTGCCACGGTTATTAAGGTGAATAAAGAGGCGAAGGAAAGAAAGTATCTGCAATAATACTTAAAAAAAACAGCGAGCTGGTGATGATTCATTCCTGAGTCTCGGGTTGTATTACCATGAAAGAAAGTCTGTCAAGCAAACTTGGGGATAGAGCAACTAAATAAGGTTCGTCTAGAGAATCGGCATTTTATTTCCGGCTGTCTTTTTGGCAATGTGGGTGCAATAGACGATTTTGAAATTTTCCGAAGCGCCCCAGCCCGCGCGCGAGGAATTGTGGGAGAAGCTGTCCCTCGCCTGGCTGCTCTGCCTTGACATCGCATTGCCTTGTCGCTTGACTCCTCTTAATCCTCTGTTTTTGATTCTATTACCTATTTTTATTTATTCCAGTGTCTATATAATTGCTTCTAAGTGTTTCCCTTCTCTTCTGCGGGCGATATTTCTTGTATATATACAGCATTTGTGTTTTTATTTTGCCTTTTTTGACCGGAGTGCCGACGGACAACACGCCGCTTCGTGCGTCGTTCCCCGGGAGAGTACTACCGTTGCTACCGATTCCTATCGCGCTGTTAGGTGTTCATTTTGGTTCATTTAACTCGCGTGCAGTCGAGAGGATCCTTTTATGAACACCCGCGCTCATGTCATAGGGGTCAGCGGAGTTCTGAATCAACGATCGCGACGCGAGAGCCGAGTGCACTGTGATTTGGCCGCGCGCTCTCGCTCCGTTGACTCGCACTGTAGCGTATGCCTTCGAGTTCCGCTTACGTGACCAAGACAGCACGCCGCTTTCTCGCCGCGAACCATTTGTCCGAATGTTTGCGAAGCTGAGGCATATGCAACGCTGCGGCGCCTGAGAACTGCGCGCTGCGGCGCGATCCCTTCGCCAACGCCGACGGCTCAACGTCGCGGCTTGAATGCGACTATGGCATGCCTTCGTAATCTCTCTGCTAAGCTGTTGTCAGTTGCCAACGCCCTTTTTCAAGTGCAGAAATGTGTTGCCGCGAATCATTTGTCCGGATGCCTGCGAAGCCGTAACACCGTTCGGCCTATCCAACGCTGCGGCGCCTGACAACAGCACGCAGTTGTCTTCACCCAAACGCTTCGCAAGACGCTGTCTTTTGGAAAGCGGTGCCAGGAAACATGCTGTGCGCTGGCAATATTGCTTGCACGGCCTGGTACACAGCAAACTGCACCACCGGGCATGTTGCTGCTGAAGGTCACATAACGAAATAAAATACCTTGAGCTGACGTCTTGACTAGAGAAATAAAATTATCGAAGGAACTACGAGTTTCAAGATAACTGCCTGGGTGGCAGCACATTTCTGGACTTGAAAAAGGGTGTTTGCAATTGACAACCGCTTAGCAGAAAAATTAAGAAGGCAAATGCATAAATACCATAAGCGCAAAAAAGCCGCGACGTTTGGTCACCGGCACTTAAGAAGGGCTCGCGCCGCTGCGCGCAGTTTGTCAGGCACTGCAGCGTTGGATATGACGAACGGTGTTACAGCTTCGCAGGCATTCGAAACAATGATTCGCGGCAATACAGCTCTGCACTTGAAAAAGGGCGTTGGCAACTGACAGCAGCTTAGCAGGTAGATTACGAAGGCATGCTATAAACGCATTCAAGCCGCGACATTGAGCCGTCGGCGTTTGCGAAGGGATCGCGCTGCAGCGCGCAGTTGTCAGGCGCCGCAGCGTTGCATATGCCTCAGCTTCGCAAACATTCGGACAAATGGTTCGTGGCGACAAAGCGGCGTGCTGTATCTTGGTCAAGTAAGCGGAACTCGAAGGCATACGCTGCAGTGCGAGCCAACGGAGCGAGCGCGGGCGGCCAAATCACCGCGCACCCGGCTCTCGCGTCGTGATTGTTGATTCAGAACTCTGCCGACATGTGCACTTGTGTTCATAAATGGCTCCTCTCGACTGCACGCGGGTCAAATGAACCAAAAATGAACAGCTAAGAGCGCGATAGGAATCGATAGCAACGATATAGTACTCACCCGAAGAACGACGCGCGAAGCGGCGTGTTGTCCGTCGGCACTCCCGTCGAAAAAGGCAAAATAAAGACGCAAATACTATATTTATACAAGAAATACCGCGCGCCGAAGAGTATAGAAACACTTAGAAGCAACAAAAAATACACTGGAATAGATAAAAATAGGTAATAGAATAAAAAAACAGAGAATTAAAAGGAGGCAAGCGACAAGGCAATACGATCTCAAGGCAGAGCGGCCAGGCGAGGAACAGTCTCTCCCACAATTCCTCGCGCGCGGGCCAGGGCGCTTGGGGGATTTCGCAAAAGGTCTATTGGCGATAGCTGCAATTTAAAATTCTACTTCTTGAGTTTTAGAAATCTGGTGACAGGAAGGTCGCGCAACGTCATTTTGCTCTGTCGCGGAAAGTTCCAACATTTTTCGAAGTCTGACAAGCGCTTCCTGCGGTTTTAAGTGAAGCGTCAAATAACTGGCAACATAATTCGAAACACTACGAAGGGCGAACCGTCGTTGCTCTAAAGCGTAGCTTATTCGGTATCTCTAGTTGGAGGACACCAGTATTGAAGAAAAATACGAATAACAAACTTATTCCGTCCTGATCATGCCGACAAAGACTGGTAAGTATAGAATGTGCGGTAAGCATTCACGGGAAGGAGAAGAGGGCGTCTGAACGGCACCACTTACCGCACATTCGCTTCCATTTCTTAAAACCGCCACGAAATGGCACTACGTGACTGGAAAAGTCACAAAGCGCGCGAGCTCATTCACGCGCCGTGGGAATAAACTCTTCTTTGCGTGGTCCGTACCACCATAGCCTCCTCTATACTCCCAAAGCCTGGCGGTTCGACGACGGAGACAGAGAGTGCCCGGTCGTAGATTTGTAGCGCGAGGACCTGGTAGCACAGAGTATCAAAGAGCCATTTCTAGGGAAACCTGGACGTCAGCGCACAGCTTTTGCAGCGCCGAAGACCTTAAACACGCTTGTTCGCTCGGGAGAAGTATGTTTCGGCGTCTCGCCGCAGCAGGGCGCAAGTCACGTGGCTCTTCTCTCATCCGTTGTCCACCTTTTCCATTTCGGCGGCCCCTTCTCGTGGCAATCTGCCAGACTTTGTCAGTACACAGGAGGCTATGGCGCCACCAACCCTGTGTAGCTCAATCGACAAATCACTTGGGTCACAACCTCAAGCTGGTGATTTTGAAGCCTGCGGGGACTGAAATATTTTATACCGATCCCTATCTTTCCTAACGTTTCGGTGTCGGTTGTTAATTACAACCGCCCGTTACAGCCGGCTGTTACAGCTGGCTATTACAGTCAAACGTTACAGAACTCCATGGATATCAGCACATAAAACAGTAGCAATAGAAAAACTGCACCTAGAGTGGAAGGCGAAAGACAGCATGGAGGCCATTCCTGGTTGCTCAGAACCAGAAACCCGAGGGTCCTCCTGCTTCCATCTTCATGGCTATCCTTCGTTTCAGCTTAAATACAGACGTTACCGATGCTACGAGGTAATAAGGCCAATCGAGCAGCGTAAAAAGCGCAATCAGTAAGCGTATTTTCTTTATGATTGGCTCGGCGAAGATGAAACACGTACAAAATTATGACAAACATCATGATAGTGCGCATTTGACGCTGTCCGATTTGTCCCATTAA